TACTCTCGTTTTCATCTTTAGCCCAAGATTATTCAATAGTGGGCTATCTTCGGACGATCTAACCTGCATGGATAAACTCATGGAGCTCTTCGAGTCCTGGATGGACAAACATGGAAAGATTTACGAGACCATCGAAGCGAAATTGCGTAAATTTTATGTTTTCAAGGACAATGTCAACCACATTGATGAAACCAACAAGAGGGTCAGCAATTATTGGCTCGAATTGAACGAATTTGCTGACTTGACCCACGAAGAGTTCAAGAGTTTGTATCTAGGTCTGAAGCAGGACTTGGCCTGACGGCTGAGGTGGTCTGCAGGCAATGGAGATTTCACTTACAGGGATGTCGTGCATTTGCCCAAGTCGGTTGATTGGAGAAAGAAAGGAGTGGTAACTCGCGTGAAGAACCAGGGGTCGTGCGGAAGTTGCTGGGCGTTTTCGACAGTGGCGGCTGTGGAAGGCATAAACCAGATTGTCACTGGAAACTTGACGGGGTTGTTTGAACAAGAGCTGATCGATTGTGATACCACGTACAACAATGGGTGCAATGGAGGTCTCATGGATTATTCATTTTCCTTCATTGTTTCCCGTGGTGGGCTTCACAAGGAGGAAGACTACCCTATCTCATGGAGCAAGGAACATGTGAGATGAGAAAGGTATATATGCGCAAACAAAGCCCAAGCCCATACAATCCAAACCCACAATGATTTGATAGCTCATAAAATTCCTAGCAAATTTAATTTGCCAAAAATTACAAACCTAAATTAGAAAAACATTTCGCATTTTCCTTCTTAATTTTTTAAAACTCGAGCAAATAAACACTTTTCTCTATAATACTAGTTTAGAAGAATGCCAGTTTACAAGAAATCCACTATGTATTTATCTAGGCAGTTGCAGCACGGTTAGCCAAGAGTAGGACGTGTTTGAGGCTGGACCTGATCCGAAGGCAGGGAGCCGGCGCAGACAATTCCACAGGACCATCATCTTCATTGTCCATCTCATTATCCTCTGGGGTTTAGGGTTCGTCGGGCATTGCCGCACCCAAACGACACACGAATCCCAACGTCACTAATGCCCATGTCATCCTAACAGGATATATAGGGTTTGTCGGGCGAGTCCGGATGCTTCGCTGATGCCCATAAAAACCCAACAGTCCCAAAAATCGTACCCATTTTTCCCATTGTCCCGGAGATCCCATGACACGTCGATCTGAATCTCATCTGAAAAAGCTCTGCCGGTACTATGAACGTGGTTATGTTAGATTCAAAATTTGCAAAAAAGAAGGTAAAGCCGCACAGAAA